TAGAAAAACAAAGAACACGATAGCTTTGGAATACATCTTGCTGTTTGATGACAATCCTATGAATAGATCGCATTTTATACTCGTTTCGTCGAGCACATTCATACGATATCAGTAATGATAAGCCATTATTATCTATAAGAATTAATCACAATATTTTTACGATAACAGAAATTTTATTCCACGTGATACTTCTTCGTATTTTTATTGTATTAATTGTATTGTGTATTAATTGTTATAAATATTAAATCATAAGGTACAACACAAATAATTTATATGAATAATTTGTATGAATAATTTATGCAATGCTGTTAAATCCTATATATTATATACTTCAATGACAATAATCTGCTACATACAATGGCTGTTATAAAAAAATTAGGTATATTGAAAATGCATAAATTTACAGTTTTTCTAAAGAATGTAGATATATTTATCCACATTTAATACTTAATGTTTAATTCATTTAGACATTGAACTTAATTAATTTTTTTCACAAAAGTATCATTCATTGAAAATAACAAAGATATCCAAATAAAATATAAATAATGTTAAAAAATTAATAAAAACTGATAAAGCATAATTTAATTATTCTAATGATTTTTTTATTCTAATGTAAGTTTAAAAACTTAATAACTAAATATAACAAATATGAACAAAAGTATGCTAAATAAAAAGTGATAATAAACAATATTATTAAAAATATAATTAATTTTTTTATTTGTTATTTGTTTTCATATTATTTAATCAGATTCTAAATAAATTGATATATCATTATAAACTAATTAATAATTAAATATAAGTAATAAATGGTGAAACATTCTTGTAGTTTTAATTAGTTAAACTACAAGTCCTATTATAATAGGATCATATATTAATAGATAAAGATGTATTATTGTTACCTAAAATCGATTTTATCATTATTTATTCTCTTTTACACCATGCAATTGTTGACTGAAACTTTTTCCCGAAAATTCCTTTCTTTTAACATATATAATCGACTGTATCATTTAAAATAAAACATCTTGTATATGTTAACTTTTAACTATATGATTTGTGTATTAAAATATGTATTGTAGATGAACAAATTAGTGTTATAATAGTGTTAAAATAGATATACGTATATATTTAAGATAACGTGATTATGTTAAATAACATAAAAACATAAACAGCAATAAATTTTGTAAGCGTTTTGTTCAGTCAATCAAGTTACTGTTAATTAATTTTTACTTTTTAAACAGAAAAGGAATATAAAACGTTATTATTATATATATATATATATGCTGTATTTATTGTATTTTACGTTAAATAAAATACATAATATATAATAATTAATAATATATAATGCGTTATTCAGTATGCGTTGATATTGTCAATATCATCATCATTAATACATTAATAATTACTTATTTTCTTCTCAATCCATTGATTGAAACTAGATACTCTGGTGTATACGGATGGCGCTCCTTCACTACCGCATGGAATAATACCCCAAGATACAATTCCAATAAGAACCGGTTTTTGTCCATTACGTGAAATTAGAGGGCCACCGGAGTCTCCCTAAAAGTTAAAAACTCAATATATATATGTATATTAAATTGTTATATTAACAAACAAAGACAAAACTACTGAAGTTCATATATTAAATTTATTGAACATCTGTATATCACTTACACTGCATGCTGAGATTTGATCGTACAGTGGCCCAGTACAGATATTAGTTTCATGAACGGGAGAATATCCTATTAAACGTTTAATGGTTTCATGGCAAGTAATGAGATCGAGGTACTCCATCTTAACATGCTGAAGTTTATCTGGCATTATTGGATAATGGCCAGTCGAAATGGAGCCCCATCCACAAAGCCATGCCTCTCCAGTTGGTTCACTTTCTGGCGGTGGTAATTCGATGGCTTGTATTTCTTCCGTTAACTTTAATGGAGACGCAAGTTTAAGCAGAGCAATGTCATATGGACCAACACCACTAAAAATTAGAAAATATGTGTTACAGTATATATACATATATAATGCAATATATGTGTGTGTGTGTGTGTGTGTGTGTGTGTGTGTATTTATATTTATTAATTACAATTTTTTAGATGCATTGCTTTTAAACTAATAACGAAAAATTATAGTATTAGTGGAGGAATGATAATAATAATCTACAGTCAATAGAAATATTATAACGTAAAAGATTTTAAGATTGAATTAATAGGTCATCGTTTATCTGAAATATAGCATTCTAATCGTAAATATCAAGTGCTAATACAATGATAATACAATAATACATCATTACATGCTAGTTATTTCAATTGTTGCATTTATTCTACAAATAAAATTCCTGAATAATAATTTATAAGCTATTTTAATCTAAATTATCTCTCTATACAAAGAAGTTACAAGTGAATTATAAATAAAACATTAATTATTCATGAAATAAATATTTATTCTTATAAGGACACTGTCTAATATCAATTTACAACACGCATGTGAATAGTCATTTCTGACGTATTTTTATTTGCTAAACACAAATTCATTAAAGAAATTTAATTAACGCGTTACAATTTTGAGAAAAATAGCATCAGAAGAAAAAATGACTATTTTTAAGAAGTATAATCAGTATAATTTTTTCAAAATTTCATTGATGCCATGCGAAATATCAATTTTAAAATGCATTTTGGTTCTTTTCGATATAATTTCTTTTTTCAAAGTATTATTTTGAAATAGTTCTTTCCCATGTAATGGTCTCATCTGCTTGTACATATATGTACATATCTGCATATATATATCTCAAAAGTCATCAAGAAAAATCATAAGAGACAAATCATAATCAATTTTAAAGCTCCCAGTTGATATAGTCAAGTGGTATTAATAAAATTTAGGAAAAAATTTGGTATCAATATTACAAACGTCATGAAAATCTTCAAAATAATTGTTGTAATGTTTTACCTTTTTGATGCCTCGGAATATTTGTGACGTGTTAACCAAATTTTAATGGATTCGTATTCAGCAAAAATATATCGAAAATAATTATTCACATTCGTGTTGCAAAAGAACTCAAATTTTGTCGGAGATGAAATTAATTAAATTATTCGTACTTATTGCTCTTTAACATTTTACTTACTTTTCATAGTTTTCATGTATGTAAGCTTGCGCCACTTGAACTATCTGTTCGGTGCTTTCGTTTTTTTTAATATTGTGCTTACCGGCCTTAATGCGAAGAAAATTTAAAGAAGAACCTGTATTAACACAGTGTCCTGCTGTTACAACCCATTTTTCGTTTATGATGGATCCAGCGCAGAAATGAGAGTCAAACATTTGAAGGGAAACTATGAACGGATAATGTCTTTTCGGTGCTTCTTCACCTCCAACCACTTGTGCCGAAATCGGCATCTGGAGACCAATTCGGGGCCTCTCTTAAATTTGAATTAATAATATTTAAGGAAATATATATTTGCGATAAAAGTTAATATAAAACATAAAGCAAAAATAGTTCTCTGTGGAATAAGTTAGAAGAAATTATAATGATATATTAAAAATTGAATTTTGCTGTTTGCTTTATAATCTATGGAACAATAGAGTAATTCAATTATTATTTATTTAATTAGTTTGAGAATATTTAATAAAAAAAATTTTTATATATTGTTTTGTACTTATTTCTTAAATAACTATATAAATTTTATATACACATACAAAATGTTTTGTATCATGTAGGCATGACTTCAAATGTGAATTTGGGTCATAAAAATTATCTTAAGAAATTTATAAACATTAGTTTTATCAGATCTTGTTTTTAAATTATGTATACATTTTTTTGTATTTTGTTAGCATTGAAGCACTTGTTGTCACAATGAGCTAGTGCGCATTTTATAAATGCAGCATAAATGAATTCTAATGTTAAAGTGATATTGATATTTTCCCTTTTTTCTTTAATTTTAGAGTTCATATATATATATATATATATCCGTTTTTACAAAATGTGAAATAGCCTTTCAACAATTTAGCAAGCTCTTCTATTCTCATTACAAACTGAGCTAGCCTAGCATTTTCACACTTTTCGCATCTTTGCATCTTATTGATTATATTAATACGACAAAAATATGAAAATATTATGCTAGCTCAATTTTTATAACGAGAATTAATAAAACATGAAAATTTCTGTAACTTAGAAATGAGATCAGATAAATAAATAAACTTTTTATGTTATTCATGTTATTCTGAATTTATTCCTGGAGTTATGTTATAAAACGTTCTATGTATCAAATAAATCGAGAAAATTGACTTACCAGCGATCACCACTGTTAGGAGAGCAAAGAACACGATTGCTTTGGAAAACATTTTGCTGTATGATGTTAATCCATAAAATTGACTGCATTTTATACTCATTTCATTGAGTTTAACAGCATGTTATCAATAAAGATGAGATTATAATTTATCATAATCTACAGAAAATTATAATACGTTTACGATAAGAAGGATTTTATTGCTTACGTGATCTTCTTTGTGTATACAATTGATATAAATATTGAATTGAATGACGCGATTGATGCAACTAATTTAAACAAATGATACAACTAATCTTATACATTACATATTATTTAATTACACTTTATATTTAATTTATATATTTATTTAACATAATCAGATTTTATTAGAAAAAAAGCGTTCATTAGTAAATCAAACAAAGATAACTATCTAAATAAAATAATAAAACTAAGACATGCATGTATAAAAATCAATTAATAAAACATATTTTTATTATTTTGATTATAACTTAAAAATAAATTAAATTCAACAAGACTTAATAAATGTAACAATAATGAAAAATATTAACACAATTAATCTTTCTTCTATTTTATTATTTGTCTCGTTATTGTCGCAATCTTAATATGCTAATTAAGCATAACATTTATTTAGTAACAATAAAACATTCTTCAATTAATTAAACTGTAAATCTAATTATGATAAATCATTCAGTAGATAAATTTATATTACTGCTATCTGATTATGATTAATCATGAAATGTATAAAGGTATAAAAAGAATGCGGAAAATCAATAATTTAATATGATATATCGAATGGATTTATTTATTTACTTATTTATCTGTCAAGATTGTCTGTTTTATATTCTAACGTATCCAAATAAAAATAATTTAGATAAAGAATAAAAACATTGTAATTATGGAGGGGATATGTACATAAAAGACTAAAATATCTTTGTGCAAAATATTTATTTATTTCTTTCTTTTGTTCGTTTTCAATGAACTCTGGAACTACTCCGTACTATGAGTAGAACTATTAAATCATATATCACAAATAATACAGTAGTAAGTAATTTTATTTAACTCAAATATTAAATTAATTATTATTAAATTAATTAACACTAAAACAAGAATATATATTTAAGTTAACATCTCTCTTTAAGTTAAGTTAACATATTAATATTTAAATGAAACGATGTAAAAGCTCTTTGGAAAAATTAATATCATGATAAAAAGCTTTATGATAGATGATTAATAATAGAATAAGAATATAAAGAAAGTTATTATCCCATATCAAATTATTTCTTAATATCGAAGATAATATTCTCATTGTTAACGCAGAAAAGACAGCGCATCTGATAAAATCAATACTATGAAATTATACGTTTTATATGATGATATTCACGGTTAATTTTTTTTATTAAGCTTAGTGTAGAATAAAAACTACCTACATTATATTTATTCCATCTTTCCTTTATAATTCTTTTTCAACATTCTATATATATATTTTGCACTTTTTATCTTTTGCTTGTTTTAGATTCTATATGAAAAGTATTTTTCAACATGAATTTTTAATTAATATTAAAAATAGTTATATTTGCAAGAGTTGACTGAATAATTTTAATCATGTCAGAAATTTCTTATTGCTTTACAGGAATAAAAATATTTTGTCATGATTTATTTTACTTTATTATTAATCTATAATTTTCATTTTTGAATGTCATTTTATTTATTTGATATTTTAGTGTTATTCCATTATTTGAAAGATTATTGAAATATTTGATATTTTTGATAATGTATTAATGTTATAATTATATTTATTAAAAGAGAAGATAAATAAATATCCATATTATATAATATCCATATTATAATTGTTCCTTTCTCTAATATTAAGTTTAGTAATATCTTTAAAAAGTCTTTAGTAATATCTGATTTACGAATATATCCTACTTAATCTATCCTACTTAATTCAATTAAATTCACTGTACAATGTAATTTACAACATTAATAAAATTTTATTTCATCTATTTAAGAAACTTTGAATTAAAAACTAAAATTATAGAATTAAATTTTTTAAATTGTATTGTATACTTACATAAAATTATGATATAGGCTAAAATAATAAAATAATGCAATAAATTTTCTTTAGCTAGGATTTACTGAAATTTTTAGTGCATAATAATTATAAATAAAAAGCTAGATTGTTACTATTCGGTTTTTTATTTCTTTTTTTTACATTATATATAGAATTAAATATCGGATCGGAAGATATGAAGAATTTATAAATTATACAATTTATTTATAATAATTTTTTTAGCATTATAAAATATAACATTATTGCCCTTAATATTATTTGGCTAATTTATTAGAAATCTTTTCTTTAATTTATAAATTAATACTCTTAATATTTTAATAAAATATAGATTATGTCCGAATACAATATTGATAAATATAGGTACATTAATTATAAGTAAAAAATGACGGAAGTTGATTAACGAGATTATGTATTAATAATATTTTGAATGTTAATTATTACTAACAATCCATATTATTGTTTTAATCCAAATAATGTAAGAAGCTACGCGAGTGTAGACCGAAGGTCTGTGACTGGTACCGCACGGGTAGGTTCCCCATGAAGTGATTCCAACTAGAGTAGGAACGTTGTTTTCAAATTGGACCAATGGACCGCCAGAATCACCCTGAAATACGAAAAATATTAATTATTAAAATTTAATTATTAAAAATATTGTACGAAAAGAATGTTTTGTATTTAATTATCTAATTCTCTTTGTTGTAATACTAATAACAAATTTAGACATGTAATAATGATAATTATATCTCTATAATATGTGCATATTATATACTATACATTATAACATAACTTTATACTACATTTAATAATATATACATTTAACAATACTTTTAGACGGATTAAAATTAAAATCTAATGCCGTTTTGAAATAGATTAACAAAATAATTGATTAATGGATAATATTAACGATTAATATTAGATAATAATATTCTCTAAATTTCTTAAAGTAATCTCTCTTCGAAAAAGTTAAAATACTGCCACTATTGAAAAACAGCGAAAAGTTTACACATAGAAAAAAATAACTTAAATTTAAATAAATATTTACTTAATAAAAAGAAGTGATTATTAAATCAAATTAATATTTTTTGTACCAAATAAATATATTTTTATATTTAATAAATATTTAATATATATTTAATAAATATTTACTATTCAAATAAATATTTATTGAAATTTAGGATATATTTTTTTTTCAGTGCACTTTTAAATAAGAGGGACAGATTTTCACTCTTTTTTTGAAGTGAGATTTTACACTTTTACAATGAAATTTACTTAAAAAAAGAAATGAAATTCTTTCCTTTGGAATAAATCTAATTCCAAAAAAGAAAAAAAAAATCTGCCATTCTTATTCAAGACTAATCCTTTTGGAATGAGACTTCGCTCTAAGAAATTTAGAAAAACGATAAAATCGAGAATGAGTATTCTTTTTGTAATCACACAATTATAATCATAGTACTATGTTTACATATTTAATTAATTGCAAAAATAAAAAAAAATATAAAAATGTTTAAATTTTATTTACAAAACAAGCGGATACTTCATCAATAGCGGCAGTGCAAATTTGTGAATCGTAAAGTTGCGGTACTTTGACTTTTGCACGATTTTTCGAGAACTCATCTTGACAAGATTTACTGTCCAATAATGGAACAGTAACTTTTTGGAGAACGTTGGAAAGTCTTGGAACCCATGTCTTGGAGACGGAGCCCCATCCAGACAGTACAGCATTTCCAACTTGTACCTCGTCTTGTTCAGGTAATTTGACAGCGGATACCCACTTATTAAAAATGAGAGGAGTTTTAAGTTTCAGAAGAGCGATGTCATATGGTGCAACACCTCTGTAAAAAGTAATACAATAATATTTAAAATATCACGTTTCAGATTCATTATTAGTTGAAAAACGCGGATACGAAAGAATTTATCAAAAGAATAGTGATAATTTAAATCATGACATACATTGCGAATTGTGAAATGATTGCATATGATATCTAAGTACATAAATACTTTTATAAATTTTCTTGAAAACAATTAAATCTATCACATTTATCTACCACATTTCAAAACTGTTTTAGTATTTTAGATCTAATCTACATTCGTAATCCCAATATTTTAGAATATTTTAGATAAAATCTACATTTGTGTTTTTACAATGATTAATTATTAACATTTTAATTTACACACACACACACACACAATTTATATATATATATATATA